TTTTGATTTTCAAGAGGAATGCATATAAATTGCCGTATTATTATTAATTTCTTATGGCAAGTTATTATGGAAATATGCTAAAATTTGAGAATAATATCATTTTAATTTTATAAGAAACCAACATAAAATTCAACTTTCATACACATACCAAAATAAAATTCAAATATATCACTTTTTTTATTCAAAATTTTTAAATACACATCCATCCATACGAAATAATATTCATACCATTAATTCAGACATTTCATAAATACAAAATTCAAATCGTCCACTTTATATCATAAACTCGGTCATTTATTAATTACAACTTATTTTTTACATAAGATAGAAATGGTGATCCTATACTTCAAATAATATTGCATATACCAAAAACATATTTTATAATCATACTAAATTTGGACTACACATAGATTCCCTTATATATTTCAAAATTCATATGTATATATATATATATATTATTTTTTAATTTCTAGATTTACTATCAGTTACCTTATTGTTCAAATTTATCAACCACTTCTCTATAATTAAAATGCAAATTTTAAATTTTTATTAACCAATATTAATTTAAAGATCGTTCTGTTTTCAAGAGAAAGACATATAAATTTTCGAATTATCATTAATATCTTATGACAAGTTATTAAAAAAAATATGCTAACATTTGAGAATCATATCGCCTTGATTTTATAAGAAACCAACCTAAAATTCGAGTTTCATACACATACTAAAATAAAATTCATAACATTTTTTTATTCAAAATTTACAAATAGATTTCTATTCGTACCAAATAAAATTTATACCATTTAAATTAAAACATTTTATACAAAAATAATATCTCTCACTTTATACCATAAATTCTGATATTTATTAATAACAACATATTTCCTACCCAAAATGAAAATGGTCATCATATACTTCAAATAACCCACATTATACTAACATTGAATTTCTTAGTGTTGTCAACGTTACACCATAAATTGATTGGAAAAAGCTACTTGTATAACTTTTTTGTACAACATTCAATGACAACATGATGTGGTACAATGTGAGTGGTTGAGATGCAAATAAATATATGATTAAGATTTAAGTTAATGGTACTTTTAACTATGTTGTCAACTAATGTTGTAAACTACAATTGTACATGTAGCATTGCCCAAATTGATTAATTAATTTTTAGAGGCGGATTTTGTTTTTAAAAATTTCAAAAACTCTCTCTAAGTTTACTAATTTTAAAAATTTTAGGCAGAATTATAATTTATAATTCAGATAAATACACACCCTTATATATATGCGTGTGTGTATATATATATATATCATGAATAATTTCAAATTATTTAGTATTTAGTCAATATTGAAGGAACCTTTAAGCAGTTTTATCGAACAAATAATTCAAGTAATATTTATGCTATACACCTAATAACATTTTTAATTATTATTAACAATTCTCTTATCACCTTTATACGTTGTATAAAATATACTAATTATAATATATAATAAATCATTTCAATTGTGTTTGAGCACATACAATTTTCTTAGTTATTTACAATCAAATGAGTTTCATTGCTAGTTTTGCTCCACTATGATTACTTCCTAGTACATATGATGATGTTACAATTAATTGATCATATTACGATTAATTGCACAGACTATATTTGTTGTAGTTAGCATCGTGTAATTTATGTCTATTATTTGAACTGAATATAATTTTAATCTATCGGGTATATTTTGAACCAATTTTAATGTCAACCGATTTTAATTTAAATTAGTCAAGGTGATATTTTTATAACCATTAATTATGAAAAAATACAAAAGATTTTGTATGAATAGGTGCCCATAATATGTTTACATAAAACACAAATATGCTATATGAATGCTTAAGCTTATGGTTTAATCTTTTAATTTAAAATATAAAGATTACCTTTATTACTAAATTCCCTAAATTGAAAAATTATCATGATTCCAATCTATAATTCTAATATTTGGAATGTTGTGATGAATCATCTAATTAGGGAATATATTTTTTAATATTGAAAATAATGATCAAATTTGTTCCCATAATTAATGAAAATTATCATACAATAAATTTAAAACAATTCTAAAATTCGAAATTAATGAATCAATGTCCGGATTTTTCAAAAATTCTGAAAAAAATTACCAAGATTAATAAGTTTTAAAATTTTAAGCGAAATTGTAGTTACTTTTTCAGGTAAATGTCAAACATTTTTATATTTATATAGATGTTAAGGTGGTTACGGACTATTCCGCCAGAGTTTGTTACCGTTAGATCATCATGTAATCGTCAGTTGATCTAATGATTACAAACTCAGCGCAATGATTTCGTAACGAGACAATAGCATCTTTTCTTTATATATATATATATATTGCGGTTTAGTTATTATATTAACATTAGAGTATGGAAATTCAGCGCATTATATAGCCAGTGTCCATACTGATTCAGTGAACTCTCCGGACGTTTTTGTGTATATAATAATATATATATTTTTTTAAGGTTTCAGTAATGTTCGGTCCCCATACGCTTTCCACCGCCTCAAAATAAATATATGCCCACTTTCACAACATTATCACAAACAGATCTTATGTCACGCCCAGGGGCTCAGCGAGAAAAAAAATTTATCCTGGGCTAAATTAAAAGTATTTATTTGAGATATGAGATGATGGTTAGGTCTATAAACTAAACAAGCTTGAAATTAAGCTGGAGCTCAGTTTATTAACAAAATTGGCCGAGTTCGAGACTTAACGAGTCGATCTCGAGCTTTAACAAATTGGAATATAAAAAAATCATATAAAAATTCTCTTTTCGGCCCTTATCAAGTCGAGTTGAGTTCAGCTTATTTATCAAACGAGCTGAACCGAGCTGAACTCGAGCCTTGGTGAGTTGAGCTCGAGCCGAGCCAAGCCGGACTCACTTAATTTAACAACACTAATTACGGTTAGATAGACCGATTCATTATATTTTTTAAAATTAAAACACATATTTTAATATGAAATGTCATCATTTTACTATTCTTTAGTATATTTAGATGCAACTACAAAAATATATAAATTTGTTAATATTAATGTAATGTGCACTAATAATTAGATCTTCAACCTAGCTCAATATAGTCGATAACGTTCATTTACAATATATATATATATTAAGTATTGAAACTTAAAATTATACTAGTACAGAGCCCGTGCGATGCACGGGGTGCACAATTTTAAGGTCATTTATCCAGTCTTATAATTATACAAATGAATAGAAAAAATGTACGGGATATATATATATATAGTACTTGACATGTAATAGACCAAAATGTGAATAAGGATGATGCACGGGGTGCACAATTTTAAGTTCATTTATTAGTACAGAGCCCGTGTGATGCACGAGGTGCATAATTTTCTAGTATGTGTAACAAAAATACATACCGTATGCACGGGACAGAAACACTAAATGAGTCATTTCCACAGAGCTTGTCCGTTAAGTAGCTCCTGAACACGGGTGCGCAATTTGTAGTACGTACCATAAAATCAGAACAGATTTTCATACAATTAGATAATAAATAAAGCCTTTTATATTTTAGTAAATATTTTACGTACTTTATTTTTTTTACTTATCGAATGTTGTGGGATTTTTTTTGTTAAACCGATTTATGGAATATAATACAAATACAATTAGATGATTGAACAAAATCAGAACAGATTTTCATACAATTAGATAATAAAAAGGAATTAGATAAGAAAAAAAATTAGATAAAGAATTTTGAATCTAATTTTTTTTAGTATAGATAGACTTTACGTACAAATTTTGACTTCACTGATTTTATGGGATTTGTTTTGACAAAATTGATGTTAATATGGAATAAGACAAATAAATAAAGTCTTTTTATTTTAGTAAAGATTTTATGTCTTTTTTTTTAACTTGTTAGATGTTATGGGTTTTTTTTTTTTCTTAAACTGATTTTATGGGATATAAGACAAATAAATAAAATAATTAAATAAAATTCTGGATAGAAATAACAATGCATTAATTACGTTGACTTTTCAATCTACTAAATTTGTTAAATAGGATAACTTATATAATAAGTATAGATATACAAATAAATAACATGCCAAAATTTTAAAGAATAATTAATGTATTTTAATTTATTATCTAGTCATCAGTAAAATTATTTAATGATGTATCATTATCTCTTAAATGATAAATAAAATATTAATTTAAAAAAATATTTGTTTTTTATATACTCAAATAAAAATTAAAAAAATACTATCGACAAATATGAATTATAATATCAGTAAAATCATTGCAGAAGTTAATAAAATTATTTAAGGAAAAAATGTTTTTGATCATATTTGAATAGGAAATGTATATATCAAGTAATTAATGCATGTCATAAAAAATTTCCAAATAAAGTATGCATTAAATGTGAGTTGACTTTTCTTGCTACTATTTTTGGTAAATAGGTTGGCTTTTAATATAAGTATAGATTACAATAAATATTTTAATCTCATGGGTATTTGAGATTCTATAATGACACACATTTTAATTATGAAAGAATCTCACATTTTTATAAATTATTTATTTGTTTCTCAAAGTAAAATATTTATTAATAGTTATGTTAGTTCACCAACAGCATATTGAAGTTAGCTGTTGGGCAATTGAAAAAAAAAAAGGCTTGGGGTTAGTTGTTGGACCATGAAAAAAAAAAAGCTCAATGACGGGGGTATTTCAAATAGACGAACAAAACACTCAGCAACAACAAAATAGTTTGACGGGGGTATTTCAAATAGATATATATATATTGCCGCTCTTGTAGTCCTATTGGTTCGATTCTTAATTAGTCGGTTCCCCAGTGGATCTAGAAACCGGAAGGTCCCTATACCAAAAAAAAAATAAAAAATATATATATATCCATTCAAACTCAAAACAAAAACCATTCCTGAAAAAAAGCGAAAACCAAAAAATACATAGAGAGAGAGAGAAGGAACAAATGTTTCAACTAGTCATGGTCCTCACAGATTATCTCTCACCGCTTCTCCTTCTAATCTCCATCACCTGGATTTTCACCATCATTATTTTAAACTCCAAGGCCCGCAGGCCCAAAAACCTTCCTCCAGGCCCATTTCCCCTCCCGATAATCGGCAACATCCTTCACCTCGGCCCGAAACCCCACCAATCACTCGCCAAGCTCTCCCGAGAATACGGTCCCGTGATGTCCCTCAAGCTCGGAGCCATAACAACTGTCGTCATATCCTCGCCGGAGGCCGCCCGAGCCGTGCTCCAAAAACACGACCTCGCGTTTTCCAGCCGGAAAATCTCGATCGCTAGTGAATCCCTAGGTCACGACGTGTTCTCCATGGTGTGGCTCCCGGTGGACAGCCAGTGGCGCAAGCTCCGCAAGATATGCCGGGAGCAGATGTTCTCAGGCCCACGGCTCGACTCAGGCCAGGGCCTGAGGAGTGAGAAATTGGGCCAGCTACGTGGGTACGTGAAGTCGTGCCGCGATTCGGGCCGGACCGTGGACGTGGGGGAGGCGGCGTTCACCACGGTCCTGAACCTGATGTCGGCCACCCTGTTCTCCAAGGAGTTTGCCGGGTTCGGGTCGGGATCGTCGGGCGAGATCCGGGATGTTGTCTGGGGGGTGATGCGGTCGATCGGGA